CCCCGATACCCAGTGCAAATGATTTTTTTTCCATGATCAAAAATCTGATGGAATCCCTGTCGTTTGAATCCATGGTGTCATTAACTAAAGATTTCAAATCAGTCCAAACTCCACGGGGAATTGCTTATCTATAGTGAGGTGAAAATGGCCGTTTGCTGTATTCTTTATTGTACAAATGAGAGTCCTATCTGATTGGTTAATTAATATTCAGCGTTGGTTTTTTCAGCAGATGATGCCTCGTTCTTGGACCAAACCAACTACTGTCCCCCTGGTGAGGCGGAGCCTATGGAGACACCGGGCCCCACCCCTCAGCAGCAGGCCACGCCCCCGACACTGGCACCCAGCCTGACCCCGGCGCCCCAGCCCACCATCTCCCTGTTCCTGGACAATGGTTCTGACACCCTGAGCGTGGAGTCCCTGACACTGCTGCCTCCAGCTGACCCCCCCAGCCTGCGCTGTTTGGCTAACCCCCCTGAGGTCCGTGGGGGGGGGCTGCCCCACCCTGAAGAGGAGATAGAGGAGGAGAAGGAGGCGAAAGAGGAGGAGAAGGAGGCGAAAGAGGAGGAGAAGGAGGCGAAAGAGGAGGAGAAGGAGGCGAAGGAGGAGGTAGAGGAGGAGGAGGTAGAGGAGGAGAAGGATGAGGAGGAGAAGGATGAGGAGGAGAAGGATGAGGAGGGGGATGCAGCACAGACTCCTCCAGCATCACCTCCACCTGTTACGGACAGCGCACCACCAGCAGAGGATTAGGGGGCCGCAGAGGACCTTCTGCACAGTGATCTCTGAGAACAGACCAGCCAGCATGGGGGTGGGGTTAACTGTGACCACACCCCTCTCTCTGTGATTGGCTGCCTTTCCTCTCTCCTTCCCTTTGTCACTCATACGTGTTTTGCTGTGGAGCGTGCTTGGTGTGTGCGTGTGTGTGTGTGTGTGTGTGTGTGTGTGTGTGTGTGTGTGTGTGTTGCTGCTTTTTTTTTCTATCTGGACATTGACACACTGACCTGTTTAGTTGGAGACAAAGGTCCAACACAAATAGACAAAGCACAGCTGACTTAATGAATTCCTTTCAGTCCGGCTTGGTGCTGTTTTCTACTTTGTGTGTGTGTGTATGTGTGTATGTGTGTGTGTGTGTGTGTGTGTGCAGGTGTGGGTGAGGGAGAGAGCGAAAGCGTGCGTGTCTGTGTAGGCCTTTGCTGCAGAGCCTATAGCGTGTTACCAGTCATACACTGATGAATGTAATGCCATCCTAAGGTATTAAGTTCTTTCGAGCCGCACAGAAGCTCGGGTTGCCGGCACAGATTTGTGAGAGATGCGTCTCCCAGGCTGGTATTGTGCCCAGGTTGTGGGAGATAAATTGACCTCTTTCTGTTCACTGGATCTTTTTTTTTCTGGTAACTGTAGAGGGCTCCCGTCTGTAGGATGTGCCTTCTGTCGGAATCGCGTCACCCTGACGGAGGCCACCCTGTGCCCTTAGGATCACCTGACCTTTAGCTCTGTCTGTACCATTCGCATCTGCACTGGATTCTCTGTTTTTTTTCCCCCTGTTGTTTCTTGAGCCTTTGGACCTCCTGGCTCTTTCTGCTCAGCCACACCCCGGCGGTCTGTGCCCATCTGTCCCCTTTCAGGGGTCTGGCCCCCATCCCCCCCCCCCCCCCTTGGCTCTCGTCCTTATTGTCCCATCCTTTCTGCCCCCCGACATTATTTTCCGATCATTTCCATTCCCTGGATTTCCAGCCATCAGAATTACACAATAGCACCAGCCGGACCTCCCGGGTCGACGCACCGCTGGCTGACATGTGGCGCTGACCACCAGGAGGATTGTGGGACTGAACAGGCACCCCTGGCATGGTGTGGTCCTGTCCACTGGGGACTCCCCCAATCAGTGTGATGTCAGAGAACGGGTGACCCCTGAGCGATGGTGATCCTGACACGAAACGGGAGGCGACAAGAGCACGATCCACCCGAGGGGGGTTTGCTCAGCGGGCAGTGCCAGCTCCGCTGCCCTTCATCCACCGGGTTTCCCTGGAGACGGGACGCCTGGAATTCCTCACCCAGGTTCAGTTTACGAGCGGTCGATCACGGGAACGAGACGGGCAAAAATGATAGCAATAGTGTGCGTGACCCTCAGCCTGCACCAGTCTGTCGAACTGTGGGAATGTACATAGGGAGGGAAACGCGTGTAAAATCGGACGATGCTGCATGGTTTACGTCCTGTAAAAAATCCATCTGCTTCTGATATGTTGTCATGCAAGTTACTGATGGAAGTTGTTAATAAATTGCAATAAATGATTGTACTCTGGGCTTCACTAACGGGTCTCTCTGTTCTCCTGTCACTTCTCGCGTGGGGGTGCTGTGCCGGACGGAAAATCGAAGGTTCTCGTTCTTTCGGGCTGCTGCCCTTCAAGTCGCCCTCTGACCTCGGTAACCCTTCCAGCCATTGGATGTATTTTCTCTGACATTGTGTGATGTGTTAGGTTCGCGACCTTAAACGTAATGAGGTGGTTGACATTCTGCGGTCGGAGGGACTTTACTCACTGCTGAAAACTGGTTGGGGTGGCACTGTGCTGTCTGTGATGCTCGCAGCTGTGATCCATAATCATGGGTGGGGTGAGTGGGGTACCAGCCATGCTGTTAGTGTCCGATTGGGCGGTCACATATTATGGCCGGTGAGACCTCCCCCCCCCCCTTAAGCTGCTGACAACTGTACCAGGAAACTACTTCTGAGTGTGTTGCTTCCTTCCATTGCTATAATTTCTGCTTTTTCAGAAGAATGTTGCTCTGGTCCAGGCAGGAGTGAGGTAGGGTCTGCTGACACACACGCTCGCAAATTTGCCGGCAGTCCTCTTGCCCAGATAGCGTCCTGCGATGCCTGACGTCCAGAATGTCCTTGCCTCGCTGACCTTGATGACACCACGTGTTCCGGCCAGAATGAGTGTGTTTTCTGAGGCCGTGTGACGTGGTTCTTTATCTCAGCCAGGATCATGGCAAAAAGGGGGGGGTGACCAGAGTGGAGCGTGGAAGGGTGGCAAGTGGGTGCAGATGGGCATCGAGGGTCTTCCTCAATCACAACGTCAGACTTGAAGCACCCGTGCCCCTCCCCACCCCCTCCTCATCTGGATTAAATCACAGGATGATGTTGCTATGGAAACTCTGTAGTGTGGTGATGGTGGTTGTGGTCTGTCTGGTGGTGTATTTTGGGGGGGGGGCACAGTTGCCTAACCCCGGCCTTCCTGGTAATCATCTGAGCCGCTCAAGGTGTGACTCAGTTACTCTGTCTGCCCTGTCGGCTGCTAATATTTTCTCTGAAAGGCTACCCTTCCGTGAACTGTACCAATGTTCCACCAGTAGGATGTGGTTATGCTCAGTAACTTCATTCAGATTCTGCTGTAAACTTTTGTTGACAGCAGACTCCAGTTCTTAATAACATTGGTAATTGAATTTATTTATTTAGGCCTACTTATTTTGGTTGGTTGACAGTGACACCTGCCATGGACTTAATGTTTCTGCGGTTCTGGTTCCATGAGCATGTGCAGAGGGTTGGATTGGGCTGAAGCCATGCTGGAAACCAGTTTAGTCTGACATTTAGCGCAACAGGGATTTGCTAAGCCCAAAACGTTAGGTCAGAATCCATGGCTAGCTCATTAAAACTTCGCCTCAGTCTGGTGAACTAGCATTTGAATGCGGTGAAAGCGTTCCCAAGTAATGTCACGTGTCTCCAGCAGGTGGCGCCTCTCCGGACCTACAGGCTGCTTCTTAGTATTGCTGGTGAAGCCACAGTAACTGTAGACCCCGCAGACCAAATGCGCGAAGGATAAACTGCATGTCTTTTCGCGGAAGTTCAAACACTTCTTTTCCTGGAAGAGATAAAACTCAGTAACATCTTTTTCGTCTTATCAGAGATACATGCATACAATGGTGTCAGAAGTGATGAATGGCAATTTTAAACGTATGTGTGGATCTCTCTCTATGTGTGTGTGTGTGTGTGTGAGAGAGAGAGAGAGTGAGAGAGAGAGAGTGTGTGTCAGTGCCATCAGTTTTTGACTAATATTTGTTGCCTTTTTGGTGATCTTGTTTCAAGAAGGACGTGTCAGTTAATGTCTGAAACAGGTAGAGGCTGGTTTTGTGGCAAACGCATGACACGGGGGAAAAATCCCGATCAAAGTTTGGCAGTATTAATTTCTGGAAATTCCTGCCTTTATTACCAACCCGGTGATAAGTCAGTCAGATAATAAGTTTTATCTTTACCCGCACCATTGCGTCGGCTGTTTTTTTTGATCGCCGACCTTCCCTTTAAGACAGACTGCAGATCGATATAATGTCTTAATGTAAATGTATTTTTGAGAGTAACGCTCCAGTCCTTGGAGACCCTGTGCGGTTCTTCAGCTCGCGTAATTTCAAGTATGTTAACTTCTTTCATTATGTAATGAAGTTTTGTAGATAGCCTATGTTTTATAGTTTTATATAATATATACACACACACGCGCGCGTGTGAGTATGTGTATATATAGATAATCAAAATAAATCACATCACAAACACAGCTTCATCTTAGAAGCTGAAGTTCATGAAGGAGTTAGGAGGTAATAAAGAATGGAATTCTTCCAGTATTACAGGGTGACTCTAAGCGATTACACTTTTGGGAAATAGGCCTGACTGGATTGCAGGTTTCATTTTTACACCGATTTCTCTTTTGATAAACCGACGCAATTCCTGAAAACGAACAGAGAGAGAGAGAAACCAGGAAGCCCGAAAAAACTTCGAAAATTCCCTGACACAGTACTCAAAACACTTAATCGTTCGATGTTTTTGCGTGGTAAATAAATCAATAAACCGCAGTCCTCAGGTGCGTACTGTAGGAGCCACGTTTGTTTAGATCTTTTTTTGCAAGATCGAAGAAAGTGAGGACTAAGATTAAAGGTTATCATCCATGTGATAATTTGAACCTCGCTGATTGTCATAATATCGCCATGAATCCATTTTCTATATCCGCTTGTCCTATGCAGGGCGGCTGGGTGTCCGGAGCCGCACCGGAGACTAAGGGCGCAAGGCCGGAACATCCCATCGTATGTGTGTAATTATGTGCTTTATATTGTTAATTTACTTGAAGGGGTACAAATAATGTAGCATTATGCCATTACTTATGTATTAATTAACCACAAACTAAGTCTTAGTTACATACTGATTTCTCATCTTTCATGAATCGTGACGCATGTTTTATCTCACTATATTTGTTACTACGTCTGTTAATTCTGCAAACCTTTGTAAATGATCAAGTATATTTGTTCGTGATTTGTTCATTATTTGTACTTCAGTAATAAGTTATTAGGCCTACTCAATATTTGTGCCCCGACAAGTAAAGGGTTACCTTTGTATTTATCAGACGGCATAAAATGCACCGACTGACACTTGATCATTTACCACAAATTTACCCAGCATATGCCTAAGGAGGTCTTTGTTATGGTCGCTCTACAGGTGGTTAAACCTTACGGTGCTTCAGGCTGCGGCCGCTGTTAGCTATAGACGCCTGAGAGTATTTTAGGGTTACGTTCCAGGCAAAGCCCTGCCCTCGGCTCCCACGGGGTCACGTCAGCGCTACCCACTGCATTTCTTGTAAATGATACCCTATAGTGCTGGCAGGCACTGGGGGCGGGGCTCCAGTGACAGTAAATCTCGTTTAGTTTGATTTACACAAATCAGTCATCACAACCAACATTCAGCGATTCATTAATGCGCTTTATCTCTGGAAGACCGAGCACGAGCAAATTCACCGTTAATGCTGGATTCCCGCCCGTTTTGTTGGGAAAAAATTACAAAAATGACTGATAACTGCGCAGCATGCACGGTTCATAAGTATGATTAGAAATCTTGAGAATTGCTTGTCTAATATCAGCGAGTTCGGTCTTCAGCACGAAACCACTGCCCCTAGGCTAACGTATTATTTCAATTAAATATCGTATTATATATCTTTCTGGCAGCAAGTAAAGATTTAAACGAAAGAGTCACCATCTTATGCGGCAGTGAATATCACGGAGTGGCTATGCGTGTCACTGGAGTAATTCTGACCTGTTTTACTTAACGGGATCTGGTAACTGCAACCAAGCAATTTAAGCAAATAAGCGTGGAAAAAACTCAGGGGCCGTAATATTACACGATTAGAAACCAAGAATTACATTTTCAAAACAAAATTTATTTTCTTTATGAAAATATAAAAATATATTGGTCTGCATAGCAGATGTACGCCAACAGAACAGCGAGTGTCCTGCATAGTGTAAACATTGACAGATGTAAACTATAAAAATTAAGTGTATTTGTTTGCTACGGGATTTCCTACAAAATTGCAACGAATTAGCAATTAGTAAGCTGTGAAGTGTATCCCATGCGTCCATTCGTACCATTACAAAGGGTATGGAAAAGAGTTCAAAAAGTCTTTGAAGACATCGGCCAGTGGGATACTCTCTATCTTCTGTGCCCCCCATGTTTCAATAATCCTTTTCCGGCAGAACTCTTGGAGGGACTGTACCTTCACTGTTCTGCAAGGTTTGGTCAAAATCTTCTTGTTAACGTAATGTTCCAAGAGTTTGAATAGAGAGTCAAACGTCTCCTTACTCCCACACAAGCTAAAACGCGATCCCTGGAAACTGATGCGGATATTGACAGGCCCGGAAGAATTTTTGTAGCTCAGTGTGAAGAAGAAGTCCGTCTGGCTGCTGTCTCGAATCAGGAAAGTTCCCACAGGAAGGTCCTTGAGTTGCAGCTGAGCCTGACTGGCAGTTATGGGACCCCAATAGAAGCCACTTTCCTCCAGCTTGGATGTGGTCATGTTGATGATATGGAAATCGTTCAGGCTCCTGAAGGGTCGGAGGTGTGTCTTGCATTCACGGCTGTCGGGTCTGTGCCGGATGGGCTGTATATTATCTGCCAACTGCTGGACTCTATCGCGCTCTTCTGCTTCATTGCCTTCCACGTTAATAGGTTCTACCATCCTACAGAAAAGACCAGCCTGCGTGGTCTTCCATAGCGTCCCTCATTAAGGTGATTGAGGTAAAGCCTTCTGATCTGGAAAAAAAGGGAAACGCACAAGTTTAATACGGTGGGATCAGAATATTGCCATTTGACCTACCCCACTTGAACGCATTGTTACAACCGTCGCCACGTATTAAAAAAAATAAATAGCAACCGCTGCTTCCATCCGACGTTTGAACAACGCTAATTATAATGAACGATATAGCTATAATTATAAGTGGAAAAATGTTCGCCGCAAAGCTTTGGCAATTCCATTTACTGACACTTGGATAGTAATTTTTCAGTTTTA